ACTCTGCACTCGGTGGGCTTGGGGTGAGGCCCGGGCCTGGGCGTTGTCGGTGGGTGGGCCCCAGGGTCGGGGGGCTCGGGCTCGGCCCCAGGCGGGCCCCTGGTCCCTGCCATTGCGCCGCGGGCTAGGCCTTCGGGCTGCAAGATGACCGCGTCCCCAGTGGATCGGCCTGGTGGGGCGGTCTGCGGCCTCTCGGGCCCTACGCCCCCTTTTCTTCGTCCTCCGAGGCCGGGAGCAGGTCGGCCTCACCCACAGGGGTTCATTCGTTCCCGCGCTCATTCATTCATCCCGACCCTGGAGGGACCTTTCTCGTAAGACGATCACGGAGGCCGGGTGCTGTATCCGGCCCTTTGCCATTTTTAACGGGTTCAGTCCCTGCAGCAGCCCCCACCATTAGCTGCCCATTCCATAGATGGTCAAAACGGAGGTACAGAAAGGTTAGGTCGTTTCATTTGGTCCTGGGCCGCCTGGCCTGAGGACCTTCCCTTTGCCAGTAGAGAAAAGGGCCGCCCTAGGAAAAGGGCTAAACGATGGAAAAGGAGGTGATGGTTATCAGGAAGACTGTAAGGCAGGAGCAGGCTTGGGTCTTGGGTTGGAGGTTTCAAGTTGGAAGGAATATCTTGGTGGTTAAGGACTGGCCGCCACAGGATTCCTCAGTGTTGCTTCTTTCTGAGTCCTTTTCTATTTAGTTTTCAGGCTTTGTCCCCACAGGTTTCAGCCCTGGATCGTTGACCTTGCCTGAGTCACTTAGCCTGCAGCTCGCATTTCCTCTTCTGTTTAATGTCATTCACAACAGGACCCACTTCACTGGATTGTTGCAAGTAAAGGAGATCATGGGAGTCCCTTCCCTACACGATTAGCTCATTGTTACTAGTCAGGGATTCCTCCAGCAGGCTTCTTTCTAAGGGGAGTTGGTTCTTAGAGCCTTTTGGCTCTGTTTGGGAAATGGGAACAGTCACATCTTTCCTAACTACCATGTAAGAGGGTTATGCTCCCATTCCCCTACACTGTTATGTTCAGTTATGTGTTACTTCTTGCAGTCCTCCAGCAACCCAAGGAGGTAAGGACTTTTTTCATAGAACTTTTAAAGGAATTCTGAGGAAATGGGCTCAAAGAAGCAAAATAACTTGCCCAAGATCACCATGCTCATCTTGCTCCCCCTCAGCCAACACCTGTGAGCTTCCTGAGAGCAGAGGCCCCTTGAAATAATACAACCTTTCTCTGAAGTAGTGTACTGGATTATGAATTATCATTACTTTGAGGATTAGATGAAATAGAGAACCGGCTCTCTGAGCATTAGTTGTCGTTCTTAGTGTTTTTTCTCCTCTGACTACAGGTTAGAGAAACATGGCAGCAAGGCGAATTGCGCAGGAGACTTTTGATGCTGTATTACAAGAAAAAGCTAACCGATATCACATGGACCCCAGTGGTGAAGCTGTAGGTGAAGCTCTGCAATTTAAAGCTCAAGGTAAAGTGCTTAATTGGGGGCCA